TTACTTATATACGTGTCTACTGAAAGCCAATATACAGTTCTATCTCTTTTCACTTGAAAATGGCAGCAGTGACTGTCGAAATATTGTGAAAATAAATCTGTGATTTGAATGAATCATGATCTTCTCAACAGTTCTCTACTTCATTTCATTATTTAATCTTACTGCTCCTCGCTCTTCATTTTTAAACATGATGGTTATTGGAAATTCAAGTGTGAAACGACATTTAAATGACGGTAAAGTTATGCTAAATGATGGTCATATAGTGAAAGTGATTATATCAGGTAATATTTTCTTAATTTGATAGAAAGAGATTACACGAATCAATAACTAAGTGTTTATGCAATCCAGGTACTAAAGATAAATGTATGGATTATTGGAGCAAACAAAAAGCTATGTCAAACAGTGAGAAATTTACCAATGTGTGCTCAGTTTACATAAACTCTGAATTCATTTGAGGTAACAATGATGGCGATCAAGTTCAAGACGAATGTGATGATGAAGATGAGATATCTGATTCAATGCAACAAATATTACAAATGCCAACAAATATGTTTTCCACACGTCTGTATTTCATTTAAAGGATAGCATATGTTGATTTAAACATGATGGTTGCTTGTAGCTGCTCCATATCGACGTCAAGTAACATCAATGAACCGTTCTCACTCTCCTGATTTGATATTTTCTGGTATTCATCGTATGTGTTTAACGAAATTTTAACATAGATATTCTAATTTTATTCTATTTTTTTTATAGTTGCTTCATCGAAACGGTTGGCAAGTGAAAATCGTTCTAATCCTTCAACGAAACGTCGTGTTGATCATTCATCTTTTCCTCAAAAGTCGAGTCAAGTAACTACAGGTAGAAAATGTGAATGACATCAGCACATTTCAATCATTTTAAATTCTATATTTGGAAGAACTTACATCAGTAGTATCTTCGTCCGACGACGATGAAGAATTAATGAATATTGATGATAAAGTATCGCTACGTCGTATATTTCATGAATTACAAAACACACAAACAAATCTACGAGATGCTCGATCAGATAATCGTGATATTCATCAACAATTAACAAAATTAACACAAAAAATGAATCATTTTAGTTCAATTATATCAGTGGTATAAGCACTTTTTCTATTCTTTGTAGAATATGATTCAAGTAGTTCTTTTTTATTATTCAGAAAAATAATCAAGATCTTGATCGTTATCGTGATTCAGATAGCAAAGAAATTTTTCAAGATGAAATTGTGAGTTTGTTTTGGTATAAATCCCTGCGAATAACAGCTTTGTTTTTTTTATATAGACATATGAAGGTCGTAATTTACTGGAAGTACCAGCAAGAAATGCCGGTGAATATGCTAGAAATTTGCTAAAAATATTATTCAAACCTCATGAATTACAGTCAAGTTTATTACCGTCACAGCACTCGAAAAAATATTCGAAGGCAGAATTAGATTCGGAACGAATTGATCTTTTAAATGGTGATGGAGCCAACATTTATTATTTTTCATGTATAAGTAGTTTTTTATTCTTCTTTAGATGCTGTTCGTACACGATATCGAATTGTGAAGCATTATTATACAAGTTTTTACAAAGATAGAATTCAAGAATCATTAGCTAATTGTGTGTACAACGAAGGAACACGAAAACCAAGAAAACAAGCGATTCAGCAACAAAATGGACAAGTTTACTTAAGTTTAATGGAAAAATGTTTACTATATCAAAGTAAAGTGTTAGAAAACTTTTAATGTTATATACAGCGAGAATATGATAAATCGAAAACGCACTATAAAATAATATAGTCGATTATTTTTTCGCAATTTTGCTCAGTTTTGGATGCTATATTTCTGTCACAAATAACACTAAAAAATTCGTTTGCACTTCAGTTTGATACAGCAAACATTTTTCTACAAAATGAGACATTCGGCAACTCTAAGTGTTTTTTTATAACTGATTCTGAACGACTTTGGTGAATGTCCTAACATCGATTATTAATCGGTGCATGTGGCTAATCCCTATCGGGATACATTTTTATATCCCAGTTGGGATATATAGTTCGATCGGGATATGCTTTCTTACGTTTTTATGAATGTAAATAATGTTAAGATTAAAAAGGTGAAATTCAGTGTATTGTGGCATCCAATATTACCCAATATTAGTGTAAAAATTACTGGGTGACCAATATTATTGGTTCCAATTAGTTATACAATAATACTGGTTTCCAGTATTTTTCTATACCCAATAATGCTGTGCAATATCATCAATTATGATTGGGATTGGTGCATACCTAACTGTATAGTTTGGTTCCTGCGCTTCTAAAGCTATTTTACAATATTGAATAGCTAAGTTATCGATTTTTTTCACTATAAAACGATCCGAGATGTTGATGTTATGACAGATTCAGTTGAAGATCAGTTATTCTAACATGATCAACTTTGAACATCACCATTACCTTACTTGCCATGGAACACATTCGAATACGTTCCCCAGGAAACCAGAATGGTTTCTTATCGGTTAGAAACGCATTCAATGACAACACGTTTGTCTTGGGACGAAACGCGTTCGTCCTTACTAGAAAGGCGTTCTGCTTTTTGTAAAATGCGTTCAGAGGAGTTCTTTTTTACTGAGAACGCGTTTTTGACCATTTTTTATAAACTTCCCCCCCTAAATAGCCTAGTAAGGCAGCTGGTGGTTTCTAATTGTATGTGTTCATATCTCGCACTGATTTCTGATCATCCAGCAAGTTTTAGCATCTTTGACTGGATGGTTCGTGAGATATAAGTATTTCATTTCTTTTCTCCAAAATGCTGATATTTCCTGACCCAAGAGAGATGAAAACTTTTTATTTTATCAAAATGTAGCCATGAATCTTCTCTATTTACAATATGAATTTATAGCATGGGCTCTTAATGGTTACCAAAAGACAGCTATTTTATGGTTGAGAGTCACTGTTGAAATATGAGATCCTTTCCGAAAAAATTCATAACTCAGTCTAGAAATATTATTTTCACCTCAAAATTGCATCAAATATTTTAAAATGTGTCTAGATTTATTCAGACGTCACGTAAAGTTTGAAGCTTAACTATTGTATAGTTGGAGAAATTCATTGAGAACGAGCACCCACTATTGAAACATACGAAGGGAAACGAGGGTGAGGAATTAAGGGTTGTCCTTTTTACCATATCTTTTGTGGTTTATGTTGGTCATAATTATGTAAAATATAATCATGAAAACTGAATAAAATACGTAAGTAAAACATTGTCAACAAGATTCCAGACTCATTCTATCCTCACTCGCCACAACATAACGACTGATTTCATATGGGAAAAATAAAAATTAGTAAAATCAGTCCTTCCTATAACAGTCTCCTGGACCCTCAGCCAGGTCGCAACAGTTAGCGTTCTTGCTGATACTAAATTCAATTAAGAAAGTCAGAACAGTTGCCACTGCCATCGCTACTAAACGCTGAAAATATCCGCAGGCAGTTTCCTCTTCACTCTATTCGAAAGAATGCTTTATGCTTGATTTTGGTATGTTGGACAAACACATGTACATCGATTTGAAAAGCTGGCTGTCAGAATACACCCAGAACATAGATAAACGGCACTCGACTGTTCAGTTGGAGTTGAGAAGAAGGAACATCCCACATCGATTCTAATACCTTGATAAACAGAATCTAAAATAAACAAAAGAAAAGCATATTCAGTTAATCGCAGCAGTACAGAGAAACGTTCAATACATACTTGTGCCAACATTGAGTTTAGCCCGAAAAAATCCTGTGGCTGAATCCCTCACGTAACGTAAAGGATGATCAGCTAGAAAATCTGCTGTTTGAGATTTGATTAGTACTGGAGTACTGCAACCATTACCCGTGCCACACTGACTAACATTGCCTAATGTAATTGGTCCAGTCACGTTGCAAATACCATTTATGAGAATACCTACATAAGCTGAAACGGACTGATAACTACCATTAACTCGTTGTTCATTAATTTCACTTTCTTCTTTGCTCCGGATTAAATTTGCTTTATCCGTTCGAGCTGTTATAGCTCTCTCAAGATTTGACTTCTTAGTTTCATCTGTAATTAAATCGGACCACGGTCGATATCCAGTAATTTTCAAGAGAGCAGGATTCAGACTAATTGTTCTTTGCCATTCAGTTAAGTTTGTTTGTTCGATATCACCTCCTAAACGATGATTTAGTTCAATTTTCCGTCGCTGCACATAATAGTCGGTATAGGATGTTTGTGATAATAAATCCTGTTTTAAATAGGCTTCCAGATTTGTATTGGTTAGTGCACCATAAAAGGAAAAGAGGCAGTTTTTGAATAGAATCTGCTGTTCTGTCATCCCCCCTAAAATCAGAGCATATATGTGTGATTTGAACCTCCGCAGTGATTCATATAGTTACCGATGAGGGTTTCCACGGCAATATGTGTTCCCCAACTGTTTATAAAATCGTTATACGCTACGTCATCGTAAACCAACGGAAGAGCTGATACAGCTTCTTTTGCATATGGATTCAGTCTTAAATTTTCAACTGATAATTTGTACAAGGCTAACGGATTTTGACTGATAGCTGTTGCCTGATTATCAGTGAAAAACTGTTTGTACAAATTAAGAATACTTTTAACTAATCCAAATTGTCCACCTAACCAGCTGCTCTTACCATAACCTTGTGTCCATTCATTAGCCAGTTCTCTTTGTGTTTTAAAAATATGAACGGTCGGTATGTTTTCGTCGGCTAATGCATCTGTAACAGTGACATCGTTCGGTATAACATAGGATTGGTTCGAGTATGAATCCGTCCATATTTGGTGGCTTCCAGGAGATGATGGAAATGTCCATTCCAATGCGGGTAATAATAGCTCACCAGTAGTAATATCAATTGTTATACCAACACCATGTGGTAGATGTGGCAAGTTAATGGAAGACGCTCTTTTTCGACGTTGCTTTGCAGCACCACTGCTGTTTGTACTATTGTTATCACCTGGACAAAATGAACCTTTATAACCAACGATGGGACACAGCACTTCTCGTGCCTTAGCTGTAGTAAAGTTAGTTGATTTCGTTTCAGGAAGAGTAAAATTCGACGAGTCAACTGGTATATCTGTATTGTTAGTTGAATTTACATCTCTTTTGCTAATGTGACGCGCAGTGGATTCAAGTGGAGTACGCCCGCATTTGACTGGCGGCGAAGCGACGGATTCTAATTCTGAGATATATTCTTTTACAGTAGTATCGGCTGTTTGACGAAAGTACGTTATGGCAGCTTGTAATGCTTTTCGCTGTTTGCCGCTTGGTAGCAACGTATACAGTGGCATTAGACGATAGAATGTCGGGCGAGGATTACTTCTAACAGTTGGTATCCACTCTGACCACTTTGATGGTTCGACTGATTCTGTACCACCGAGTAATAGCGACTCAAAAATAGAATATTGTTTAAACCTTTGATCAATTTGGGATTTATGGTCGTCACCTTTGTATCCTGTGCTAAAAAGAATCCAACTGTTTTCCACTTGTTTATTAATCCATGTTTCTGATTCTTCGTATGACAAACATTTTTCATACCAAGTCTCAGCCCAAACAAGGCCGCCCATATCAGCACTAACAACAACATGTGTCCCATAAGCTTGGATGAATTGTTCCCATGTAGTCAGATTATTCGAATCAAACTCTGATGGAAGCTGTGCAAAAGCTAGTTTTGCAACAGAATTTAGTTTCGGATAAGGATATGTGGTTACAGATAATGTATACCACATTATTTGTTTTAGTGTTAACGCTAAATTATAATATTCTTGA